TTTTGAACCCTAAACTTTGGGGCTCAAAAAAAATTTTTTACTGAACCAAATGAGCTAATTTCAAAAATTTATTATAAAATATATGTATTATGAACACTTTTTATGTGGTTGACTTTTTGATTGGATGCCCGGAAATACCCTCATTCGTTAGCGGCTGAATATTTCGTAAGCGACTACGACATATATATATATAGATACTTTATTCAGGACCTGAGATAAAGTGCGCTAGATTTAAGACATTAAAACACATGAATTCATACAACACGAAAAGGATATAATAAAAAAGAAACACGATATAATATATGCAAAATAGATCTATTTATTTGATCTAATAGATCTATTTTATTCAAATATTCAAAGAGATTCTTTTTAAAACAATTTCCTTTTCATTTTTTTCATTTCATTTCAATTATTTATGTCGTGTTTTTTTTCTGTGTTTTCTGTGTTTTCTCGTTTTCTAATCCAATTTTCATCATTTCCCCCATTTTCCAGACTGAATTATTGAAATTACTGAATTAGCGCTTGAAATCTCAGCGCTTTGAAGAGGATTTCCCAGGAAAACTCACGCATTTTATTACAATAACCATACTGATTGAGTAATGATTCAGAATTGGGTAAATGAACTAAACATTGCAGGTTCTGGTACTTTGAGTGGTGTACTTTGAGCTCAGTAAGCAGCTCAGTAAGCAGCTCAGTAAGCAGCTCAGTAAAGCAGCTCAGTAAAGCAGCTCAGTAAAGCAGCTCAGTAAAGCAGCTCAGTAAAGCAGCTCATGGTATACTTTGAGCTCAGTAAACAGCTCAGTAAACGCACCCTTTCTGGCTCACTGAATTCTTCATTTCCCTTACAGCAACGATCGTGCTTTTGTCCTCAACTCAGTGCATCAAAAAGGTTGCGTTTACCGGTGAGCACAAAGTACATGAGCCTATAATCGCTAGCAGTTTGGCACACTAAAAAAACCTCGTCAAAGATCTGGTTCAATTACCCAACAACTCTATTTTAACAGTTTCGAAATGCGCTTTGGTAAACGCATTTCATCTAGTGCACTTAAATCTTCATTGCTGAATTGCTGAATTGCTGAATTGCCAAAATTATACCCAAAATTCAGCATCAGACTTCTTTTTCCATCTCAAAATAACCAAAACTGTAGGCGTTTTCTCGCAAAAAGTCGAAAATTTCCAAAAATTCCATGAATATCCCAGTTTTGAGTCACTAATTTCATTCAAAAACAGGTGAAAAATTTTTGAAAATTTTTTTGTTTTGAAAAAATTTTTTCACCTGAGCTTTTATGTGTCTAAATTTTTTTTCTTCAAATATTAGAGATTTTTAAAAATGTCTAATACTTGAAGTTTATATAATATTTTTAAAGATGTATACTTTTTGAATTTTTGAATTTTTCAAATCTTTTTCCATTTTATTCATCGAATTTCGAAATTTCAACAAATTTTCTGTAAAAGTCGTGTGCCAAACGTGCGCGAGTTCTCCGAGAACGCCTAGAGAACGCCTAGAGAATGCCTAGAGAATGCCTAGAGAATGCCTAGAGAAGGCCTAGAGAAGGCCTAGAGAGCGCCTAGAGAAGGCCTAGGGAAGGCCTAGAGAATGCCTAGAGAATGCCTAGAGAAGGCCTAGAGAAGGCCTAGAGAAGGCTTAGAGAATGCCTAGAAAAGGCCTAGAGAATACCTAGAGAATACCTAGAGAATGCCTAGAGAACGCCTAGAGAACACCTAGAGAACACCTAGAGAACACCTAGAGAACGTCTAGAGAACGTCTACGCCTAGAGAACGCCGAAATGCAAATCAGTGCGCTAGACAACGTGCTTTTACACATCTAGAGAACGCGGAAAGCGTTTTGCAAGAAAATTACTGATCGTTAGTCTTATTAATCAATAGTCCTATCAATGCAAACTTTCGATTTTTTTAAAATTTAAAATTATTGGGGAACAGGAATTAAAAGAATTTAAATTAAAAGAAAGAATTAAAAGAATCAAAATTGGAATTTCTTTTTAATCAGTGCACTAGACGGTGTGTGTTTAAGGGAATTTTCGGCAAAAGATCAAGGACACAATTGTTGTTGGAATAAAATGAATATTCAGCTATTCAGCTGTTCAGCTAGCTTCAAGAGTAATCAAATTTGAATTCTTTTTTTAAACAATTCCAACAGAAATAGAATATCGTACGTCATTTGCAAAAACAGGTTACCTTTTTTTAATAAAAACGATTGCATACGTGGGCTTTGTTTTCTCTTTGAAGTCTTTTCTGTTCTTTTCTTTTACGACGAAAAGAGAATATAATTGAATCGAGAGGAGTACTGAAGAGGTGGGAGGGGACAGGGACTGACTAGCGCCAACCCACGCACCACACTCAGCTTTTGCCCACACGGATCCTGTATCCCGGGCTTTGTTCTTCTCTGCTCATTCTCCTCCATCTAGCTTTAAATATTACTCTTGTTGAGTGTCTTGAGAGTCATTCAACTAAATATTAAACTAAACAATCAAACAGTCATTCAACTAAATATTCATTTTATTCAGAAATCTCGTATTTTTGTGTCGCAGATCGCCGATTTTGGGTCGCAGGAAGGTTCTGCACAATCCGCTTTCTACATTCTAACAAAATCCTTCTATGGATTAGAGCTGGGGATAGAAAAATGGTTCGATCCGGGAATTGAATTGAACTTGTAGAAAAAAGTAAAAGAACAAAGTTTGAGCCGGACCCGGAATTGAACCCGCGACCTCACCGACCAGAAGCGAGAATCATACCCCTAGACCAATCGGTCTCGAATTGAGAGAGGGGGGAAGAGCCATATCAGAACAGAACAGAAGATTCTGTAGAGCTGACGGGATCTGTAGATCATCTGCTCAATTCTGTTCATATCTATCTGTTCTCTTTGAAGCTTCAATCAGTCTACAAGCCAGTTGCAGTCTACAATCAGTCTACAAGCCAACTACATTAAAGTCTACAAGCCAGTTGCAGACTTCTTGTTGGCTTTGATATGTTAGAAATCAGTTAGAACGGTTTCCAAGAAGCTAGTGCATGACTATAGTGGTCTTTCTCCAAACTTTCAACCAATTCCCCTCATCGAATGGTACTTTGCGCTTTGTAAACGCACCCTTCCTGGCGTACTGCATTCTTCAGTTTCTTTGTGCTTTGACAAAATGAGCAATCTAGGTTTAAAGAGTTCAAAGTGGCGCATCGTCTGTCCGAAAGATTGAAACGCTACGCTCTCAACTCTCAGACTACAATTTTGTTCATTCCGATCACCAGACTAAAGTATGAGCTGAAATTTTTTGTTTAAATGAATACGAAGAACCCACTCGCTTGACGTTTCCCCTTTTTTTCCCCTCAAGCACCTGCCTCTTATTCTTTTCTTTAATTTACCTTTCACCTCAAAAATATTCTCATTGTGAAATCTTTCTGATCAAAGGTTTGTAGTGTGATTTGACCCGATTCTTGACGACTTGCTCATCCTCTCTTCATGTACTTTGTGCTTACCAAACCACAACCTTTCTAGCCCACTCAATTCTTTATTTTCTCAAGAAAAATGATTAATCCAGCGCGCCAGAAGGGAAATGTTTACAGCTTTAAAGAGCTCAACGTACACTAATGGGCTGCATTTTTATCCAATCCATTTATTTTACTGAATCAAGTATGACTAAGATCTTTCAGCCTATTATCTAAACCTATTATCTAAGCCTATTATCCTACAGTATTCTTAACAAACTATAGTATAGTAAAAGCTGACTACTAGCTGGTTGTTTCGGGTTTTACTGGTTTAAACCGAAAGTAAACCCGGATTAAATCAGCTTTAATAAGAAATAAGAAATAAGAAACACGTATTTCTTTTTCTTTCCTTATTTTATTTGTTTCTTTTCATCATTTCGTCGTCATTTCTTGATGTTTCGATCGAAAATTTGATTCATTATCGCCCAAAAAGGTGAGAATTCTAAATCTATGTACTTATTTTTCTGTAAAACTTTTAAAAAAATAGTTTTCAAGTGATATTTGTGATCTTTAATCTTTGATCTTTGAGCTCTCTTTAAATCCTTTTTAAACCTAAACACACTAGTGCACAAAGCTGGCTTTGTCTTGATTGATTCTTGACTGATTATCTAATTAAGACTAATTGACTAATTAAGAACAAACCAATCAATGAACAAACCAATCAGTCAACAATCCCTATCTATCAAAGCATAGTCAAACAGGTAAACGAATTACAAACTATATAATTACCGAACGTTTAGCATTTTACAAATAGGGATTTTACAACGCGGAACCTAGTCGTTAGGGCTCACAATTCCCCTTTGATCACTATGCTTTGATCATTTTATTCTTTTAAAGAAGCATGCTTCGTTTTCGAGTAAGCACCAAGATTTCAAAGGGATTTTTCTCGAAAACTAGCGATCCTTCGCAAGTTCCGAAAGCATCATCGTACTCGCCGTATTCGTGTTTGAATCTCATTTTAGTACCACTTCTGACTATTCCCTTCTTGGTCTTATCGTCAGATAACTAATTCTTGACTGATTCTTGACTGATTCTTGTCCGTTCCTTGACCGTTCCTTGTCCATTCCTTGTCCATTCCTTGTCCATTCCTTGTCCATTCATTGTCCATCCCTTGTCCGTTCCTTGACCGTTCCTTGTCCATCCCTTGTCCATTCCTTGTCCATTCCTTGTCCATTCCTTGTCCATTCCTTGTCCATCCCTTGCCCGTTCCTTGTCCATTCCTTGTCCATCCCTTGCCCGTTCCTTGTCCATTCCTTCTCCGTTCCTTGTCCGTTTCTTGTCCATCCCTTGCCCGTTCCTTGTCCATTCCTTGTCCATTCCTTGTCCATTCCTTGTCCATCCCTTGCCCGTTCCTTGTCCATTCCTTCTCCGTTCCTTGTCCGTTTCTTGTCCGTTTCTTGTCGAACTTTTACAAATTACTGTAACTTTCTATCTTTTTTATCTCTTTTATCATCTTTATCATATCATTATCAGCTAAAATTTCAATTTTAGGTAATAAAAAAAAAATGGTGCGGATATTGTCCGCACTCGTGGCGTTTTGCCTATTTCTCTGCACAGCCGCCTATCCATTTTTGGTTTTGCCAAGGTTGGTTAAATGAATAAAAACATTTATTTAACATATTCTAATAGAACGGGAAAATCCTCTGTATAACTTTTTAGAAAATCAGTTTTTTATGAGCTCCCAGATTTTCTTAACTACACTTTTGATATCAAAAAATAATAGATTTTAAGGGCTATCATTTGACAATCAATTGTCTGTTGCTGGCACACTGTTGCTTAAAGTAGTGCAAAGAATGACACGTTTAAAGTTAGACTACGCGACTGTACGCTGTCATTAGAAACGTACAGTCGAGTCATTATAAGTCATTATAAGTCTTTAAACGAGTCATTATAAGCGTTCTATTAGAGTAATAGTGCTAGAGCTGAATAATCTTGGCTCTTCATCAACAAGAATTGACGCTTTGAAGGTTTATAATTGTCCATAACTTTGTCCAGATTAAATATTATTGATAGCTTTTTATTTCTTTGAAAAAGAAGATATTCTAGACTTTTAAATGATCCAAAATATGTCTTGATTGATTTATCCAATCTCATAAAATCAAAGCCAACTTTAACCGACGGTATCTTGAAGATTAATCAGAAAAAAAAAGAGATTTCTCTTTTTTTAGATAGATTTTTTGCGAATAGTAGAACATTTTTTATATAAAAATATTGAAAAATGAGTTCTCCAGTCAATCGAAACGTGCCTTTGACCGTCTCGACAGCAGTTTCCACGATTTCGGCATCAAGAAGCGAGCTTTCGACCGTTTGGACAGTAGTTATGATTTTGGATTGGTAAGTGATGAATATAAAAGGAAAGAAAAGATTATCGCTGAAGCTGAGCTGAAGAGATATCGAGATTTTATCTACATCTACAGTTTTTCCTTTTTAGAATCTCCGGAAACGTGCCTTCGATCGTCTTGACTCTGGCTACGATTTTATGGTAAGCTTTTATGTAAGCTGATAGAAATTTTATATATAAAAATATCTAAAAATCACATTTCTCTATCTTATTTGAGCTAATTGAGTTAATTGAGCAAAAGCTGAAATAGTTCTATCAATTGGTTGGGTTGGTGAATTGAAAACTGCGGGCTATTGTCATATGTGACAGTTTGAGCACTTTCTTCAAACGAAACATTTTGGTGTCAATGGAAAAGTTGTAGAGAATCAAAAATGAAGCTTATATCCAAATTTCCAAAAAGATACACTTAGTAGTTTCGCTTAAAATTTCTGTGTTCTACGTGTTCTTTGTGCGGCCGTGTAATCACTCGTCGTCTGGCGCAGGGCTTTTACATAACCCCCTTCTCTCACTCTTCTGACTGTTTCCTCAAATTGGACAGTGACTTCTCCGCAAATCAAGGGGCTACGGTATCTGTCTGTCTTTCTGTCTGTCTTACTGTACGGGCATTTTTTCCGTCGTATTTTGATCAATATTTCATTTTGCATGGATATTATATTTTAAGTTGTTTTTGGTGTCATTCGATGCGTAATTCATTCTGCATCAAATGATAGTTAAAATAGTCAATATATTGGGTTGGTGAATTGAAAACTGCGGGCTATGTGACAGTTTGAGCACTTTCTTCAAAAGAAGCCCATTTTGGTGTCAATGGAAAAGTTGTAGGGGAAATGAAATGGCGGAAAATGAGGGGAGGGGAGGGGGGTTACGGTATCTGTCTGTCTGTCTTTCTGCCTGCCTTACTGTACGGGCATTTTTTCAGCCGTATTTTGATCAATATTTCATTATGCATGGATATTATATTTTAAGTTGTTTTTGGTGTCATTCGTAAAATTGCGTAATCAAATGATAGTTAAAATAGTCAATATATTGAGCTAATTGAGTTAATTGAGCAAAAACTGAAATAGTTCTATCAATTTATGTAGCTTATAATCCACAAACTTGATTCTGTCTGCCTTACTGACGGGCATTTTTTCGCCCTCAACTTGATTCAAAATAGATAAGCTAGAGATAGAAAAACTAGGCAAAAAGAATGCTTTACACAATAGTTAGAAGTTAACTTTCTTCCAATTTAGGCAATTAAAAAGCGAGCTTTTGACCGTTTGGATAGCGGGGATTTCGGTTTCGACAGAAGGAGACGAGCTTTCGATCGGTAGGGAAAAGAGATTTCGAAATAGTATTGATTATGTTTTGTCGATCGATTATCAATCGATTATCGATTTGTTTTTAAGTTTTAATCAATAATTGGTTCATCAATTGATTGAATCAATCAATGACTAGCTTATTGATTCAATAAATTGTTGAACTAAAATGAAATAGATATTAAATATATACAGGGTGCGTCATAATTATTGCAACAAGATACTTAAGGCATTGCACACCAAGAAGTTTCACTGGAAGAAGATTTTTAAACAGAAATAGCTTTATTTAACAGTAACAAATAAGGAAACAAGAGATCATTCGATATGACCGCCTTGATAACAGCCCTTAGTCGGTTCGGATATGCCTCCACTGCGGCCCGAATGTCGAATTCAGCCGCTAACGAATCATTCGTTAACGGCTAGCGAAAAATTTCATTCGTTAACGGCGAGCCGTTAAATGATTCGTTAGCGGCTGAATTTCGTAAACGGCTACGACATATATATCTGCTTTATCCAGTTGAATAGCGACAAAACAAGATCACAATAATCACCCAGGACATCACTCAAACCACACGCAAAAGATAAAAAGATACCTGAAGAAAAAATGACAGAGCAGTTAAATCAATATACCGTATTTTCTCTAATAGTAGTGCACCCAGAGCGTCGCCTAAATTCCTCGAAATCTCGAGAACCGCTTATCAGAACCTATCGATGTGGGGTCGGAAAATGTAGCTGACGATGAGATCTAGTGGGGGATTTGAGTGTTGAGCTTCTGGGAAAACTTTGGAAGCCGTAAATAGTCATCAACTCGGCTCGCCGGGGTTCACTACTATTAGAGAAAATACGGTAATTATTTGCGTTTACTTTGACGCCCCTTTGAACAAAAGGGGAGTCTTCCCATCAGAAGTGACTAGGGAAAGGAATCATTTTGCCGTCGTTTTTTTTTTAAAAAACAAACATACCATATAAAATGTTCGAAGTCTCGAGTCTCGAGTCTCGAAGTCTCAACACTGTTCGAAGTCAACACTCAAATCCCTCACTAGATCTCATCGTCAGCTACATTTTCTCTAATAGTAGTGCATCATGAGCGTCAAAATCTTTGCTTTGAAACAAAAGCTTAAGCTAAGCTTAAGCTAAGCTTAAGCTAAAGCTTTAATCTAAAGTCCAAAATCGAAATATCCGTATTTCAGTCTCGATTCCGATTTCGATTTCCGCAAGAAGCGCGCTTTCGATCGTTTAGACGATGGATTTGAATTGTTTAAAAGATCGAGAGGAATTGAGGATTATGAGATGCCCGGTAAACATTTTCAACAATTAATTGCTGTACTTAACAGCAAGATATTAACAGGTTGCTGTTAGCTTAATTGCTGTACTTAACAGCTTAAGTGCAGCTATTAAGCCTTAGCCTTATCCCTATAAACATCCCATTTCTCTGCACTTAATCCCTCATTTTCTCTCAGCAATGAGAAAAATAAAGAATTAAGTGTATTAGAAAGGGTTTGTTTATAAAGTTTAAGCAAAAAGTGCAATACGTAGAGTACAATACGTAGAGTACAATACGTAGAGTACAATACGTACAGTATAATACTAATCTCAAACAAAAGCTTTCTTCTGAATGAAAAATATATATTTTAATTAGACTAAAACCTTATTTTCATTTTTTTTTTCTATAGATTCTTTGACACCAATTGCTTTCTTCGAGTCTCCAAGTTGGAGTCGGCGGCCATCTTGTGAGAAAAGAAATATATAATATATATTGTAAATCCTGTAATAGTACCCCACGTACAGTCGCGTAGTCGAAAAACTTTTTTTAGTATTTTCATTTTTTTGCAAAGCACTCGTACTTTCAAAGCATTGAGTAGTCTAGCTTTGAACGAGTTTTTCTCGACACTGGTTTATGCTACAATGTTCGTTTTGGTTTCAAAAAATAGCCCTGAATTTCAGCTATTTTTTGATACCTATACGCGCATCGTAGCATAAACCAGTGTCGAGAAAAACTCGTTCAAAGCTAGACTACGCAATGCTCCGCACCGTCATTATGGCGCTGGGGCACTATTACAGTATTTACGGTTATATTTTTGGGTTAATTGTGATCGTTAAGCTTCTTCATCTTTCTTCGCCACACTAATTTCATCACTTTTCATTTCTCAATTAATAAATGAGACTTCTGGTAGCCATTTAGATATACAGGATGCGTCTGAATTACCCGAAATCACTTTCAATAAAGAAAACTGGCCAAAAAAAAAATGCCCGATCTCTTTAAATTTTCTGGAGATCAATTTTGATATGATCTCCTTGACAAAATGCCAATTTGATAGTCGATTAGAGGTCTCAACGATTCGATTAGATTCGATTAGAGCTAGATGAGTTTGCATCAAAGTTGAGAGTCGTATTTCTTCTGGTTCACTTTGGTGATCGATGACTTTCTCCACAAATTCACAAATCTGTTTTCTTTTTCTGGAGATCGGGCGCGTTTTGGCAATTTTTTAATATTGAAAGTGATTTTGGGTAATTATGACGTATATCTAAACTGCTGAAACAATCTCGCTTCGGAGTGTACATGGCAACAATTCCAGCATCTTTGTACTTTGTGCTCACTGATAGCAAACTTTCTGGTGCACTAAATTCTTCAGTTTTCCCCTCCCAACAAAGCACTTCTCATCAAAGCACAAGCCTAAAAACTCTTGAAAAATCTGAAAATCTCATTTACTCACAAGTGGCACTAACAAATCTTCTTCTAAAGTGTTTGTATGGGATACACTCGAGAAACTAACAAGTGCGATTTCTTGGAGAACTTTTAAACATAAATTAGCACTGTACTTTGGACTCTGGCGTACTTTGAGGCGTACTTTGTGCTCTGGCGTACTCAAGGCGTACTTTGTGCCCTGGCGTACTTTGTGCTCTGGCGTACTTTGAGGCGTACTTTGAGGCGTACTTTGTGCTCTGGCGTACTCAAGGCGTACTTTGTGCTCTGGCGTACTTTGAGGCGTACTTTGAGGCGTACTTTGAGGCGTACTTTGTGCTCTGGCGTACTCAAGGCGTACTTTGGACTCTGGCGTACTTTGAGGCGTACTTTGTGCTCTGGCGTACTCAAGGCGTACTTTGTGCCCTGGCGTACTTTGTGCTCTGGCGTACTTTGAGGCGTACTTTGAGGCGTACTTTGTGCTCTGGCGTACTCAAGGCGTACTTTGTGCCCTGGCGTACTTTGTGCCCTGGCGTACTTTGTGCTCTGGCGTACTTTGTGCTCTGGCATACTCAAGGCGTACTTTGAGAAGCCATTTGTGCCAGAAAGCGCACATTTCCATGAGCAAAAAGTACAAAAAGTCCTCGCCACTAACAATATGTTTGGGGGAATTTGCATCGAATCTTAGACTCGAAAAATTCCAGACTCGGATTTGGTGACCGAATTGGAGCAATCGATCTCGGCGTTGCGAAGAGCACGAGAGAATGAAGCCGCTTTCTCGTCACTTCTGCAACAACCACAAGAACAGGTAAACTCAGGAATAGCTCGAGGAACCCATTTCCTAAACGTTTTCTCTTTCTAGACTAAAGCTTTTTCCTAAGAAAGAAGCTACCGTACCGCGGTTGTCTTTTTAAAGTTCAATCGGGTTCCAATACGGTTCCTATTTTGATCTAATACAGTTCCAATACGGTTCCTATTTTGATCTAATACGGTTCCAATACGGTTCAAGCGATACAAATCTTTATTCTATTTCCAGCTAATGGTCGTCGAACCGGATGTTTGAGAACAGGCGCATCAAAAAGATTAAAAAAACGCTTTTAACTCCGAAAATCCTAAAAAATGTCAGAATAGAATTTAATTTTCCGCTAAAATTCCCGAGCCTCGCTGTGATGCCAAAATTGGATCTCTTAGGCTTAGGATCTCTCTTTTCTGAAAAACTCCCCAGATCTCTTTTTGCTTCTCCGCTTTTTTTGTTATCTCAAAAATTGTTATTCAAAATTGCTCGATCTCTTTTTTGGTATGTACAAAATTCAGCAAATCTTTTCTCTAATTTGCTTCGTTTCCCATTTTCTTTTTTTTGAAAGAGGTGGAGAGAAATAAAAATGCGATCAACCGTTTGAAATCGAGACATTTTGAGGAAAATGGACATATTGATTGGTAATGATGCACTTTGTACTTGAAATTTGTATCTGGCGTACTGAATTCCCCATTTTTCTCGCAGCAACGTTTTGTTGTCGTAAGAAAACTGAAGAATCGAGTGCACCAAAAAGGGTGCATTTACAGATTTCAAACACAAAGTACAGAGGATTCCTAATCGATGACCGCCTGGCACATAAAGCAATCTTTCGGTTCAATTACCCAGCAATTTCATGACAACATGGCAACGAGGTTTAACGCCGAGTTTTCATCGTGTAGAATGTCTAACTTTCAAATTTCAGTGCAAAATGAAAGTTGAAATAGTGCATGTAAAATTGTTATATTAGACATTTTTGCAACATAGACAAATATTTGAAAAATTTGCTGAAAACCCATACAAAGAATACAAAGGAGATCACATTTAGCTGCACCAGTAGTAAATGAGAAAAAGATGAAAAACAAACTGAAAAATGAATAGATAAAAAAATTGCAAATGATGAAATAGATGGAATCAAGGAGAGAATGTACAGTTTACAGCCCAATGATCGCTTGGGAAACATAAAGTCGTTCGAATTCGTTGACGTCCCTCTAATTTGAAGCTCACCGTGCGCAAAGGGCCCGCCCAGAAAACCTAAAAATTTTGAAAATTTGATTCTTGGTTTTGAAGACTACAAAAACAGCAGACAAATAGGTTTAAAACCTGAAGAAACTTCATCAAAACCAACCCGATCAAATCGACACTGCGCTCCGTGCGCAAACTTGTTGTCGTTTTTCCGCGTATCCCAAGTAAACTTCTCACCCTTCGGCGATCCGGCAGCCAAAAAGGCATCAGCAACTCCATTTGGAAGAGGTGGCAACTAAAAGGTGATTAAAATGGTGAGGAAGGATCAAACTTTCCAAAAGATTACCTCTTCATCGCGAATATTGAGATCACCGCCGAAAAAGACGAGAGCATTCGGATTGTTTCGCACAATGTCGCCCATCTTTTGCAAGCAATATCGGATTTGAACCTAAACAATCGCCTGCAAATGAGAATAATTATAAAATACCGTTCGTTTATTGCTGTGCTCAGCCATACTTTCGAGATGTGTGTTCAGCAAGAAGACCTTTGTTGGACCAATTTTACCCTAAGACAAATTTTATTATTGCCGCATGTTCAAAACACTTACTTCAACAGTTTGCAATGTTCTACCCATTCCAGAGTTTTCAAAGTGATGCACATGGTGATTCTGAAAGTTAATTGATAACACAAAAATTCTCAATTCTCACCAAAACATCAAAGGCCTTGCTGACGAGAATGGCCGTGAAATATTGTGAGGGACGATTCGAATAGAAGATCTTGTAGTATTTCTAAAGCTTTGTTGAGATAAGATAAATTAAACCAAAAACCTCTAGCTTCTCAATCGGCACAATCTCCCGTTCGACCACCTCTTGAAGAAAGATGAAATCCGGATTGATACTAAAATTTAAGTAATTCAGATAGTTAATGATTAGTTACTTCTTCAAAACACAATGCACAGCTTTCATTCGCGTTGCCAAACTGCTTCCATCCAAGCCATCGATATTCCAGCTCATCAGCGAAACCTGACATGAAAAAAGTCAAGAATATTCAATGAGTTATAGTCTTTTTAAAATCGTTGCCTCAAATTCGCTGCTCGTTGAAGGTCCTTCGTTTGGTTCCTCATTTTCACCATCGCTTCCCGCAGCGGGCTCGTTTTGACCACCAAAGTGAACTTCCAAAGCAGCCTAAAGTTGAATATTAACAAAAACTTTAAAATCGCTAACGTTTTGCATCCGTTTAGAAGCATTTGTGTTGAAATTGAAAAGATAACCTATATATGCTCAATTTTGTCAAAAATCTTTAGACTTTAGATACAAAACTGAAACATTAAGAAAGAGTTGCGCATTAATTTCCAAAAATTCACAAAATGAGCTCGTTTAGAGAATCTTCTTTTGAATAGGCTGTTAAAATGACTGAATAACTTTCAAATATCGCTTCAAATTTTCAGCAAAGCCAATATATTCAGCTGTATAGTTTTCAAAGTTGTTGCAAGATCATAAGGACATACTTCGATATTCCAATTTACGTCCTGTAAGATAGTGTGAGCATAAATTTCGTCGGTTCCGGTGATCGCCGCAAAATCTCGCATCGCTCGCTCGGCGACCGCATTCTCCTCTTCAAGTGCATTTCTATAATAAAAGGGTCTAACACCGTAAAATAACCATGAACATTATAATTATGCTTTTAAAGTGATCCTTCATTTCAAAAGTATCTAGAAATTTATCTTCTGCGGAAAGTTTAGTTAACACTTATTAACACCTCTCATCAATTGGATTCTCCTCTTCTTCGTGCTCCGCATCCACATCTTTTTGTCGCTTTGGTGGCGACTCTCCCTCTTCCAATTCCTCGACTTTCGCCATTCTAAAATTTAAGAATTTTATTAAAATAAAACAAGAAATTTAAACTTTAAAGCCAGATCAAAAGAAATATCACAGACCAAACCCAAAAATGACACAACCAGGGTAAAACTACAAGAAAATAACAGGATTTAAGCAAACTCTATTCCGCTTTATGAGATAAATGAATTTCCCGTTTCGAGAGAA